CACAAACTACACTAAATAGCCAAAGGAATCTTTTTTTAAAATAGCAAATAATTTATATTCATGGGTAAAGAAACTTATTCTATTGATGATATACATATCCATGAATAATTCAATTTAGTAAGGACTTTGTAGAAAATACAATAACTTATGAGAGGTTTGGGTTACAATGTAATTATGTTATATATATATATACATATATATAATATATAAGTATATATATTTATATTTGTTGAATTCTAAAATACTCCAAAGGTGTTTTGATATAAACCTGTTTGGGATTAGCGGTGTACTCTCCGGCTAAATATCACAGAAGGGAGGATTACACATTTCTCCTCTAGTGATATATAAATATGACTGGTCTCCTCCAGTCTCCCCACGTTAGCCTTGTCTTCTGTTTAGACTTTATAAATCCTAAAGGTTTTAGTTCAGAAACAGCTTTCATAAAGCAGCCTGGATAATTCCATCCATCTCTTCCGCGGTTGTAGAATTTGCATTCATCTTTTCAGCAGCTGTCACGGGGTTGACTAGCCTGCTACGCTGCAGGAGCAGTTGATAAGTGATGCAGATGTCTGGGGCAATGTTTGGAATTCAGTTGTCTTCCCTTTTCAGTGTTTTGTTCCTTAAATAACAATAAGGGTTGCTGAGTGCTGTGTGGAAGGTGTGATACTGGAGCAGCATTTAAATACTCATGGAGAGCACTGAAGTCTTAGGAGGCAGAAGGTATTCACTCACTAGACAATGAGGTTCACAACTTTTTCTTTGAGTGCATTAAACCTGATTTGCTGCTTTCTTATTGTTAACTCCTTCGTTTCCAGCAAAAATAGATTCCATGTGTTGTGAAGAATGAAACTGTATGCTCCATTTGTCATTAATTTGGTCTTATGGTATGAAAAATCTTCTTCATTTTGAGACTTGAGATCCTAAAGTTAGAACCCTCTTCTGAAGGTGAGAGAGATCCGTCTCCTGAAGCCCCTTTGGCTGTGATCCAGAAGCAGCTGCTTTGGCATCAAGGCTCTGAAACTGGGCCATGAACTTCCCTGTTCTCTTTGATTTCTGAAGCCTGGTCATCAGTTCATCCTTTGCCAGTGTCTTTTTTTGGAGGATGAAAGCCTGAGATCAGACAGCTCCGCTGGTTTGGACTCCTTGGCCACATTGTGGCAGATGGCATCATGGTAGTGGTAGATGTAACCAAAACAATCTTGAGCAAAAGAGCAAAGTTGATGGCATCAAGTACCTCATTTCAAGACATAGTACAGAGCAAGGTAATCAAAAAAATGACATTGGCATAAAAATAGACACAGTGGAAAAGAGAGACCCCAGAAGTAAATCTATGCATCTATAGCCAGCTGATTCTTGACATAGGTCCCTGTCATGGGCTGGGTGAAGGAATGGCTTCCCATAGTTCACGTTTTGAAAGCCTGATTTTAGTGCAGTGAGGTTCAGAGGTGAGCTTTTGGGCAATGATGAGAGATGAAACCTCAGAAGTGGATTATTTCATTTGAGGGGGGTAAAATTTGGGTGGACTTCTGGGTGGTAACTGTAGGCAGGTGGGGTGTTGTTGAAGGAAGTAGGTCAAGGGAAGGGCATGCCCTTGGGGTCTGCATCTTTTTTTTAACTATTATGTAGCTGAATAATTATTATTTTATGAAGGTTTATTGGTGCATATTATTTATACAGAACAGTGAGTTTACTGAGGCATGTTTGTACATATAATATGGTTCGATCAATTTCACTTTCCAGTACGTCCTCTTGCCCTTACCTTCTCTTTCCCCCTTGCTCCCTACCTCTATTCTAGTGGTTTCCCTTCTACTTTCATGAGACCCATTTTTTCTTTCTTTTCCCTCTAACTTTCACAAATGAGAGAAAACATCATGACACTTGTTTTTTTCTGAATCTGTATTATTCAGCTTAACACCATACTTTCCCGTTCCATCCATTTTCCTGCAAATGCTATTATTTAATTTTTCTTTATGGCTGAATAAAACTCCATTGTATACATATACCACATTTTTTTTTTTTTACATTTTTCATCTGTTGATGGACACCTAGGGACAGGCAAAAATTTTCTGGCTAGACCCTGGAAGCCAAAGCAAAAAAAAAATGATAAATGGGATGACTTCAAACTAAAATGCTTCTGCACAGAAAAGTTAATATAGGAGACGACCCCACAGGATGGAAGAAAATGTTGACCAGTTATTCCTTTGATGGAGGGTTTTGTTCAGGACATCTAAAGAACTCAAAAACATAAAAATAATTTATTTTAAAAATGGTCAAAGAATATGAATAGACACTTATCCAAGGAAGAAATACAATTAGACAACAAATATGTGGAAAAAATGTCCATTAACCTTCAAGGAAATGCAAATCAAAATGAGGAACCGTCTTTCCTGAGTTAGAATGCTTGTGTATTTATATGTACATACATAATGTGTATATATACCATGTTTATATACAAAATTACAGTGAGGAGGTGGAGAAGTAACTTGTATGTGCTTATATGGTGATGGGAATGTAACTAGGTAGAGCCACTGTGGAGAAGCAGTATGAGGATTCCTCCAAAAATTAAAAATAGATCTACTGTATGATCCAGCTCTGCCACTCCTGGGAATATATCCAAAGGAATTGAAATCAACTTACCAAAGAGGTACCTGCATGCCCATGTTCGTTGTGACATTGTTCATAAAAATTAAGAAATTAGCCCGAGTCTTCCTCAACAGATAAATAGTGGTATGTATACACCATGGTATTAACTTTTGCAGAAAAATGAAATCCTGTCCTTTGGAGCAAAACGGATAGAACTGGAGGAACTTATGTTCAATGAAATGAGCCAGATGCGGACAGTACTATAGGTTCTCATGTAGGGAAGTTAAACATGTCAATCTGCAAGTAGAATAGTGACTACTAGGGATTGGCAAGGGTTCATGTTGGGGGGTAAGGTAGAAAAAGAATATTTCAGTTTGATCAGGGCATGCTATACTCATGTATGAAAATACACTGACCCCATTATTATATAATTATGCTAATCAATTTTAGTCTGTTCTATGTTCTAGTAACAAATTATCTGGAAAATGAATCAAGAAAATTATCCCATGTTAGTAGCATCAAAACAAATAAAACAGTAATGAATATAAACAAGTAGATGAAAGACCTGTGTACAGAAGTCTATAAGACATTGATAAATCAACACAAATGGAAAGATCTCTCATGTTCATGGATTGGAAGAATTAATTATTTTAAACACTTTTAGTTGTAGATGGACACAATACTTTTAATTAATTTGAATGTGGTGCTGAGGATCGAACCCAGTGCCTCACATGTGCAAGGCAAGCGCTCCACTACTGATCTACAACCCCAGCCCTTGGAAGAATTAATACTATACCATCTATACCATCCACAATCTATGGAGTCCCAGTAATCCTTATCAAAATTCCAATGGCATTTTTTTTTTACCAAAAAATAAAAATCCCCAAATTTGTATACAGTAGCAAAAGACTCCAAACCGCTAAAGCAATCTCAAGAAAGAGGAATAAACCTGGAAGAATCTCACAGATGTCAAACTGTAACAAAGCTGTTACTCGAAACTGGCGTGAACACAAACCTGCAGACCAATGGTAAGAGAACAGTTCAATAAGAAACCCATGCATACATAGTCACCTAATCTTTGACAACTGTGCGGAGAATACATAATGAGGAAAGTTTCTTCAATAAATGGTGCTGGAAAAATTGGACATCAATATACAAAAGAGTGAATAAAACCCCTCAAACCATATGAAATATTAAAATGGATTATAGACTTCAATATTGGAGGCTTTAAAGAGAAATGGCTCCTTTACATCAGTCTTGGTAGTAATTTTAATATTGCCAGCAAAAGCAAAAATAAGTGGTACTGCAAAAAACTTCAAAGGAATCAACCAACAGAATGTAGAAAATTTTAAAATACATAAGTAACTAAATAGAAAAAAAAGGTAGAAAGGCAAAATGCTTAAACACTTTCCCAAAGAAGACATACAAATGACTGACAGATGTGTGGAGAGATTCTCAGTGGCACTAATCAGGGAAGCACAAATCAAAACCACAACGAGCTATCACTTCATGCTTGAGGATGGCTACTATCAAAAAGACGAGAGGTAACAATTGTTGGCAAATGTAGAAATGGAAACCCTCAGTACACTGGTGGTGGGAGTGTGAATTGGTATGACCCAGGAATTCCACTTGTGGGTATCCAAAGGAAATGAAATCAGTATGCCAAAGAAATAGCTGCACCATTATTCACATTAGCCAAGATATGGAAACCATCCAAACACCTGTCAATGGATAAATGGAAGGAAAAAATGTGGTATAGATCCATCATGGAATATCATCCCATTCCACAAAGGAGGAAGAAATCCCACCATTTGTGACAACACGGATGAACTTTGAAGGACGTCATGCTCAGTTAAGTTAGACCACACAGCATTCATTCGTCTGGCTCATTTATGTGTGGAATCTACAAAAGCCAAACTCATAGAATCAGAGTAAAATGGTCGTTGCCACGCGGGTTCGGGGGAATGGGAAGATGCTGATCTAAGCATACAACCTTGAAGCCGTGAGATGAACAAGTTCTGCAGACGGAATGTGCAGCATAGGTGCTGGCGGAGGTGTTAAGTGTGATAGCCGTTGCTCAGTGTAGATGTCAAATCATTGCACCCAAGAGGTAAGGAGCAAGTAAGGGAGGCAAGCAAAGGAAGAGAAGAATCTCCAGGGTGAGGTGATAGACTCCTTGCCCATATTGGGGGCCAGATGGGCAGTTAGTGAAGTGTGATCTAGTTGAGGTCCTGGACTCTTCATCTTATCTACAGTGATCTACAAACCTCATAACATACGTACCCTGAAAAATGCAAACATTGTTTTATCTAGGACTGTGTACCCATCTTTTTATTATGTGATTTAATATAGAGTAATAGTGAGATGTTATTTCTCTAATTGTTTATTCACTTGAAACTCTTTTCTCTAATACTCAGAATTCCCAAGTCCTCACCCCCTGAGTGATCTCTCTTCCCCAGAGCACTCACAAGTTGAAGAAAACGTATCTCAGGTACCATTCAGTTATTCATCTGCTTTTCTAGAATTAGAAATGTATTTGCATAACATACTGGCTTATTATTTTTTTAAGGGATAGTGTGGCACTATTTCTTTGCAATTTTATACATGTCATACATAAGTATATACACACACATTTTTTTTTTGTTTGCATTTTAGACTGTGAACCAAGAGTCGTTAATGGAAAATACTAGCTTCAAACATAAGCTGCAGAACTTGGAAGACAGAGGTAAGAGAACTATAAATCTTCCAGGATAAAGTTAAATTAATCTGGGTGGTTCTTCACGTTGCAGCAGATAATAGTCACTTTACAGATTGACTATTGTCAGGCCACGGGGTCAGCTGCTTACCAGCTCCAAACATTCATGAGGGTGAAGGGGGGAAATAGGGCTCCATCCAGGAACCAGAGTTTCTTGTGGCTGTGGAGAGAGAGTCTGAGTCCTGGGTCCCACTCACTGCCCTTCAGCCTCTGAGAGGACACAACGGGGGCACTTCTCTGAGATCCAGCCTGAGAATTTGTTTCACCCCCTTGTATGTAGGCTACTCTGCTTGTAAGGGATGTTTAAAAGATGCAACCAAGTTATTAAAACTTCTAAATTCATTTTATCATGCTAACAGTGATGGAAGGTTCCCACACTAGTTCTCAAGGTCATATTAGTGTAACAACTCACTAATATATGAATACACATGTTCACACAATACCATGCTAATATATATACCTAGCTGTTCTTCATGAGGTTTCTTAACTACATGTTAAATATCAACATTTCAATTCATTATAAATTACACGTAGCATATTCAGAATATCCACACGACAAATACTTGTGAATATCTAGTTTTAGAAATGGGACATTACTATTACTTCTAAACTTGTGGTATGCACCACCTGAAATCCATTCCACCCTTTTCTCTGACCAGGGGCATTATCTTTTGTTGTGTGTGATTCCACTGCTCTTAATTTTAAATTTTTGCATTAGGAAAAAAACATTATGCATATGCAGAAGAGATTGTGAAGCATGTGTACAGTTCAGTGAATGATTGTCAGATAAACACTTGTGCAGCCACAGCTTAGACTGAGGACTAGAACATCAGCTTAGAATCTTTCCAAATTGAGTGATTCTCTGTTCATTTCCTCCATCCCTCCTAGGGGTAGCGACTGTCCTGAATTGTGTGAAAATCCTTCTGCTCTTTTGTGATTTTTATTCTTTTTTGTATGTACCCCTAGGTAACATGTAGTTTAGCTTTATCTGATCTGAAAGGTAAACAAATGAAATTATGTTGCGTCTATCTTGTATGGCCTATTCTTTCTGCTTGGTCATTCTTAAGATCCATTTATGCTGATGGATGTGTGTGAAGTATATTACTCTTCATCACAGTTTAGCATTCAGTTACATGAATATGCCATAGTCACCATCCCAGTACTGTAGGATGTTTGCATTTTGAAGTTTTGGATGGTTTTAGATAAAGCCATTCTTAAGAATCATACACATTTTTCCTGATAAATATATGAAAGTGTTTTCTCCAGATATGTTTTTAGGAGTAGAACTATGGGTTATAGTGTGTATATCTTTCACAGTATGAGAGGTGCCAAAATGCTATTCCAATGTAGTTGAATAAACTTGCTTTTCTACCAGCTTGTATGAGAGTTCTGTTGTTTCAGATCCTTGACAAGTATTTTAAAACTCTTGGTTTTAAAATTTTTCTCGTATGTTCGTTGAAGTTTTAATTAAAATGTTCCTATCTACTGTTTATTAGATATTTGAATTTCCTCTTGTGTAGTGTCTAAAATGTCTGGGTCAGTTGTCTATAGAATTGTCATTTTATATTGATCCCTAGGTGTACTTTATGTACCAGCCCTGCACACTAGTACCTAGTTAGAAATGCTGCTGTACACATCTCCCTTCACTTTGAGTTTTGTACATCTTTCTTATATGATGTGTTTATGATCTCTTTTGATAAAATTTTTAATTTTAATGAATCCTAATTCACCAGTATTTTCTCTATGGTTAGTTATGTGAAGTTCTTTTCTACCAAAACTCAGATGTCATTTACTGTTTAATAATACATCTAATGCTATTAAGTACTGCTTTAGGTGAGTCTCTTAGGTATAATATTTGTTTAATTTTAAATATCTTCCGTTTTTATTTTTATTTATTGATTCAAAGGTTATTTAAATATTTCTTATTTGTACTTCTCTTTATTTCTACTATAAGAATTAGTTGCCATTACAATATATAATAATGAATCAAAATGCATTTCAGAAAATGATAGAAGTTGAGAAAACCTGTGTTTCATAAAAAAAAAAACAAAAAAAAACCTCAGGATAGTCCCTGTTCATGAACTCACAAAACTTCCTAGCCTGCCTACTTGCTCAAGTATAGTGGTTCAAACATGTGAAATTGAAGTGACTGATGCCACTGTCAATGTCATATTGTGTGACATAAATCCCCAAACATTCATCTGTTTATTCTTGCATTTATTCATTCTTTTGCTCAATGTTTTATTTTTCTTTTTTAAAAATTTTATTCTGATTTTTTATATATCACAGAAGAATGCATTTCAATTCATAGTACACATATAGAGCACAATTCTTCGTATCTCTGATTGTACACAAAGTAGAGTTGCACCATTTGTGTCTTCATGCATATACTTAAGGCAGTGATTTCCATCTCATTCCACTGCCTTTCCTACCCCCATGCTCCTTACCTTCCCCTCTCTCCCCTTTGCCCTATCTAGGGTTCCTCCATTTTTCCCATGCTCTCCCCCACCCCCATTATGGATCAGCATCCACTTATCAAAGAAAACATTCAACCTTTGGTTATTTGGGATTGGCTTCTTAGCATTATGTTCTCCAACTCTGTCCATTTACCTGCAGATGCCATGATTTTATTCTCTCTCAATGATGAGTAATATTCCATTGTGTATATATAACACGGTTTCTTTATTCATTCATCTACTGAAGGGCAGCTAGATTGCTTCCATAGCTTAGCTATTGTGAGATGAGCTGCTATAAACATTGATGAGGCTGCATAACTGTGATATGCTGAATTTTATGTCTTTTGAGTATATATCAAGGGATGAGATAACTGGGTCGAATGGTGATTCTACTCCTATATATATATATATATATATGTATAATTAGTTGTCAATGGATCTTTGTTTATTCATATGCAGTGCTGAGAATCAAACCCTGTGCTTCTCACATGCCAGGCGAGTGCTCTACCACTGAGCCACAACTCTAGCCCCTCCATTCCTAGTTTTTAAAGTAATCTCCAGTACTGCTTTCCAGAGTGGTTGCACCAATTTTCAGTCCCACCAGTAACATAAGAGAGTACCTCTTCCCCCACATCCTTGCCAACACTTACTGTTGCTTGTATTCTTGATAACTGCCATTCTGACTGTAGTGAGATGGAATCTCAGTGAAGTTTTAATTTGCATTTCTCTAATTGCTAGAGAGGTTGAACATTTTTTCATGCATTTGTTGACCATTGTATTAAATGAAGTGCCTGTTCACTTTGCCCATTTATTGATTGGGTTATTGGGGTTTTTTGTTTGTTTTTCTGTTAAGTTTTTGAGTTCTTTGCATATCCTGGAGATTGCCATATATTTTATAAAAATTCTACCATTATTATATATTTTGTTGCCTTTTAAGACTTTAAAAATTGCTTTACTACCAAGTCTGTTTTCCTTGTAACCTCTTTGTAACTTTCAAGTTGACCTGGTACAAATTTTTGATTTACTTATTCTTTGAGGACTTTGTAATGCTCCACTGTATTTTAGTGGTGTTTTTTTCCACTTAAGTGACTTGGTCTTTTTGTCTGGGTGCTCAGAGTTCCTTTCTTTGTCTTTCTGAGATTTCTCAAGGTCATATCTCTCCCTCCAACAAGTAAACATTGTAATTAATATTAAAATTTTGTTTATAGATGCTTTTATAAAATATAAGTGCATGCACGTGTTTTTGTTTTATTTTTTCTTTTTAAAAAAATTTATTCTAACTTGTTATATATCACAGCAGAATGCATTTCAGATGTATGGTTCATTCATGTAAATGCCACTATTCATTCTTTTATCAGTGGTTCTTTTATGCATTTGTTTTTAATTGACATACAAAACCATGAAAATCATACATATTAATGGAGTACTATGTAATATCTAAGTACCTGGATACATTGCCTGATGATTACATCAGGCTAAAAATTTAGCTCCTTAAACATTTATCATTTCCTTATGGTGCACACTTTGAAAATGTTTTCTCCCAGCTTTTTACAATGACAGAACTTCACTGTTATCTATGGTGAACTTGGTATGTAATAGCACACCAGGACTTGTTCCCACCCATCTCCATCCACTGTTCAGCCTTTCCCCATAGTCCTCAAAGAAAAGTACACAAGAGTTTTTACCTTGTCAACCGGATCCCCTGCTCTCTGACCCCTGCAGACACCATTCCACTCTCAGCTTCTATGAGATTCCATGTGAGCGTTCACATGTAAGGAAACATATGTATGGTACTTGTCCTCTGCACTTGGCTTATTTCACCTAATGTAAAAATCTCCATTTCCATCCATGTTGCTGCAAATGACAGGATTTTGTTACTTTTTTATGGTTGACTAGAATTCCACTGTGTGTATATACCACATTTTCTTTATCCACTCATGAGATGAGGAATGCTTCGGTGGTTCCCATCTTTAGCTCTTGTGAATAGTGCTGCAGTGAACATGAGAGAGCACATGTGTCTCCACATACTGATTTAATTTCCTTTGGAGATATATATATATATATATACCCAGCAGTGGGATTGATCATCCAAAGTTTCTGTACTCTTTTTCCCTAATGGCTGTACTGAGTCACATTCCCATCAGCAATGTGCAAGGTTCCCTTTTCTCCACATTCTTACAAGCACAGGGTAGCATTAGTCTTTTGATAAATACCCCTCCTAAATGGGGGCAGGTGATACATCCTTGTGGTTTGGGTTTGCACTTCCCTGATGGTGAGCGATGTTGAACTTTTTTTGCGTACCTGTTGGCCGTTTGTACGAATGCTTTTGAGAAATGTCTGTTGGGATGTATCTTCCTCAAAAACTTGAGTCATTTGAGTGTGTATTTCCTGTCTTGCTGTTGAGTTTTTAGAGTTGCCTATATATTGTGGATATGCCTTGTCAGATGTGTGGGTCACAAATACCTTTTCCCACTCTATAGGTTATCTCTTCCATCTAATATTTCCTTTGCAGAG